CCCCAAAACCCCAAAACCCCGTTTGCAAGAATTTAAAATATAAACGCATATAGTTAAATAAATTGTTATTTCTATATAATAATTACATTCCAATCTTCTTTAAAATCATTGTAATTCTATCATAATTACTTTAATAGACAAATGCATAAAATAAATCTTCACTCAATGAAAGAGAAAATCAACTTAAGGCATGTAGCCTATGGAATTGGAGCCCTAATTGTGTACAAGCTGATCAACTATATGATTTGGAAAACTAAAAACTCCAGGCTAAATGCCAGAAGTGCATAAATCGTGGCTGAGAGAGATTCCAAAACTTATAATTTCATCGAGGTGAGTCCAGAGAAAACTTAATTAATACTTGGCCTACCAGATATCCGAGAAATCAGAAAGAATCTTTTCAAAAGATCATTCACAATATCTGAACTAGTGACTGTCTATTCAAAGCGAACTGTTGATATCGGTAGAAAACTAAATCTTACTATGGTCGAGTTGATCGATGAAGCTCTTGACACTGCAAAAGAATATGATTTGATACTTGAAATGAAACTTAAAGATGGTTAGCAAGATCAATTGCCGCCATTGTTTGGAATCCCTGTGAGCTTCAAAGAAAATGTAAAATTACCTAAAATTTCTTTAAATTTATTTTAGATAAGCACCAAAGGCGATAGAAACTCTAGAGGAGCTTAAATCTACTAAGAATGCATTGCAGATGAAGATGCTGTCACAGTAAAGTTGTTCAAGAAAGCAGGTGCCATCATAATAGTAAAAGCAAGCATGGCTTAATGCGGATTTTCCCTTCATAACAGCAATAACATTATTGGTACTGCTAGAAACCCTTATAATCAAGCTAGAACCTGCGGAGGATCATCAGGGGGTGATTCAGCTCTAGTTGCAGCTAGATGTGTACCACTTGCAGTTGGTACAGATATAGGCGGAAGTTTGAGAGTGCCAGCAACTTTTCATGGGCTCTTTTCCTTTAAGCCAACAGGAGGGAGAACATCAATTAAGGGACAAATGTCAGGATTTCCAAAAATGAGTACTTTCACAACAGTCTTACCATCTTAAGGTCCGATTGCTAGAAGTCATGATGACTTAGTGCTAGCAACTAGACTTTAACTTGATCCCGAGATTCATACTTATGATTGGAAGATTCCCCCAAGTCCTTTCAGAGAAGATGAATACCTTAGAGCAGTTAATGGAGGAAAACAAAAGTTAAGGGTTGGTTATATGGACAGACTACCGACACTTTAATCAAGCAAAGCTGCTAGAAGAGCCCTTTAATTAGCAAAGGATGCATTGGAGAGTTAAGGATTTGAATTGGTTCCTTTCAATTTAACTTTAGAGGAAGTTAGAACACTGAAATAGACTTTGTCTGGAATTATGATAACAAGCAATGCCGGACCTATCTGCTAATTAGTAACAGAATCAGGGGAAAATCTATAGAAGGTTAATCTTGGTTTCTTTGCGTATTATAAGGCTAACTCAATAAAACAATTTTTGATACGAACTCTGCTTAATTTAACTGGAAACCATAGAATAGCAACTTCATTGGCAGGATTTAAGAATCTATCAAAGGAAGAATTGGATGATTATATTAGAGTAAGAGAATAATTAAACGAAGATATTAGATCAAGATTCAAAGATATGGATATCATTGGTCTTATTCTACCAATTTATCCACATTGCGCCTTTAAAGACTCTAATCAAGTGATAATGAATTCATTGTTAGAATACACATCAATATGGAATGCTCTTATGTATCCTTGCGGTTCTGTTCCAACTACTCTTGTAGAAGAGACTGAGACTAATCCTCTTGATTATTAAGATTACGCCGATGATATGATTACTAAAACTGTAAGATAAGATATAGAGGGTAGTGAAGGCATGCCAATGGGAGTTCAAGTAGTTGGATTATCATAAATGGATGAGACAGTATTAGGATTAATGAAGGCTATTGATAATGGAATAGAATTTAGATCAAGACCTAAAGATTTTTGATAATTTGAAATCAATCTATTTTCTTAAATTTAATGAACTTGATCAATTTACTTATCATTCAAAGAGCAGGGGTTTTGGGGTTTTGGGGTTTTGGGG